GATGTTGTTCCATTGTATATATATATATATATATATATATAACACTGTATGTATCATGTTGTTTGACCATTGTCATGTATATTTCAATTATTTTATGTCACGTATTTGCATCATGCTGAATATATCTGCTTCGTTCTTAACAATTTGCCAGTGTAAATATAATCTTCCTGAAGAAATTGATGCAGATATTTTGTTAATGTTAAGATGCTCGCTGCAGTCGAGATTTTGCTACGCTTACAATAAATTTGATGTTTGTACATAAAATCTCATCGAGAAGTTGAATTTGGTTCATGCATGCAGCTGGCCTCGATAAAGATGGCATAAACCATCAAATGCTATCACGGTGTTTTATGTATAGCATTCACTCTCTGCTCCTGTTCCTTTTGAAATTTGACTATGTGTGGTTCAACTAGGCACTCCCAAATGCTATCAGATACTAGTAATTCATTTTGAGGAGCCGAAATAGGGTATCGACTGGAACCCATTTGATAAAGTAGGGTAACTGCTAATTAAGAATGCTTTTCTGTCGCATTCACCATGCAACTGATTCCCAGTGAATAAATCAATTCGAGATTTCTCAATTAGGAAACAAACTCAGCCGGATCTGAAAATTGCACATGATGCATTAATCAAACGGGTATATCACATACCTTTCACTGTGCTGCACACCATTTGACCTTTGTGTCGATCAACAATCAATTTGTACTATGGGATACAGGGAACAGCACGAAAAAGGCACTTATAACGTCAATTTTGCAGAGAAATCAAATGATTTTTTAAGGAGATTCTGTTTTGTAAGGGAAGTATGCAAATGATTTTTAAAATCCAGTTTTTTAACATTAGAAGCAATAAATGTGGAACTTCAGTTTTAGTCAGTGAACAGAGAGATTTTGGTGGTACATTATGACATAATTGAAAGATTAACTGGTAGACTATTGATAATTTCGTTTTGTGGACGATTAATCGATTGTAAAGTCTTGAAAATGATAAATTAAGAAATGTTTTGCAGAATGAGGATAGCTGATGCAAGGAATGTTTAGCATTGGCAAAGTAGGTGGTTGGTGCGCGTATGGCACCGTTCAATGGCAGAGACGTAACCCGATGGTAATAATAACAGCTGTGATCAACATAATGTTGATTTGTTTATTTGTGTACATTTGTCCGTTACCCTGGCGGTACTGTTATAATGATTGCGGTCTGTTGAAGATCATGATAATGATGTCTTATTATTGCTCTTGCCATTGCTACAATGTTGGTTTACATCATAAGAGGCTTGCCGATACAAACACATTCATGCAATTTTTATGAACGCGGTGCTTGTTAAGAACAATGCACTGTGCCTAATTGCCATACCGCTTTACCGCATATCCGCTCAAAGCCACACGCAACATTCACCCATTCACTCACAAATGTGGCCGTCATCTGAACTCGCTGTGCAACCTCACCAAATGTTACCATATTTATCATCCGATAATTCAGTACCAACAGATTATTTCCATCATTTATTCATACTTATTATATGCTACCCATGTGCAATATTCTTTCATCCATCCATTCGTTTGACAAAACTCATCATTATTTAGTTTCGTTTGATTATGGAAAAGTCTATTGAAGGAATGTATAGAGCAGTGGTTCTCACATTCGGGTGCTCCATTACCCCTTTTGATGAGCTGACAGGCCGCCTAACCCCCCCCCCTCTCTTGATACAACAACACCATAATAGTATTCGACATATCTAGGCCTTCTCTTAGACCGTTGTGCTCCTCATTATTGCAATCGATTATGATCGCATGAAAAGCTATTGTCTGTGACACCCTCACTTCAAACTATTTTAGATGGATTCTCGTTCTTTTCAGACGTGTTGTATTCACTCTCATAGCTGTTACATGCGAATGTCGTTCTCTTGATGCGTTTTTTTCATTCACTTCGTCTCATTTCACCTCACAGTTCGAATCAGTTTCTTATTCTATAGCATATACCATTTACTGGATACGTTGACTAGTGTTGACAGCCGAAATCAAAAATACAGCAATCAAATGAATTGCTCAGCAACGTTCGACAGTGAAATGATCAATTATAGAGTGTATTTGATAGAATGATAATTTGACTCTAATTGTTGAATGAAACGAATGAGAAATTAGCAAAAGAGAACACTTTTAGTGATGAAAGCTATGAGAGCGATTGTAATAGCAAGGAAAAAATGAAAACCTTGTTAGGCCTGGACGAGCTTATGATACTCAGAAAATAGGAGAACGAAGAGTGTTGCCATCAACTAACCACATTTACATACCCGAGTTAAAAAGCACCGTCACAGTGGTGTTCTATCGTAACATAACAACTGCATGAAATACTAATTCCCCTAGCTCCTCCACTACCTCGTGACAACTCCAAATTACCCAAAACGGGTAATTTCATCCCCTACGAGAACCACTGGTATAGAGGGATGAAGTGAAGTCAAAATGTCAACATCATCTTTGTTTGATAATTGCATCATGTTGCAACAGGTGAGAGGACAGAAATCAGGGTGGACAGTAGAGGGCGGAGGACTTTGGATTTGAGTGGAGGATAGTGGTTAGGGTGGGAGAGGGCAGCAGCACGGTCTAGTCGTTATTGCATCCGAAAGGACGCTAGGTGGGACGGTCAGTTACGATCGAATGTATTCAAGACGCAACCTCGACAAGATGATTGTCGTGGCTGCATTGTGCAAAGACTGTGCGGTGTCTCTTTCATATGAGGTTGACAGTACTCAACATCATTGCTGTGACATCGCTTTTATATGCATTCGTTGTTTGCATCCATTCGAACATTCTGTTGCTTTCACTCCGCATCGCTGTACATTCGCGTTTTATTTATTCCTATATGCATCATCTTACGTTTTATGTCAACACCTCAAATCGTTCAGTATGTTGAGCCAGTGCGCCTCGCTCGTTCACTTCTCTCCTTTGTTTGCGCCTGATAATTCGCCCTCTTAGATTGCTTCAATAAGATATTTCCACAGTTTTCACCAATCTCAAATTTCGTATTCCAGATGTCCGTCATGAAAACGAATCGTGTGAAAGCGACTAAAAAACGATCCAGCAGAAGTGCTCAAGTACTCAAGCAAAAGCCAGGTTCGTCCATGTTCTCATTCGTCTTCTTTTGAATCTCCTACTCGGATTATTTGTGATGGTACTCTATCATCGGGAAATTTCACCAGATCGTAAATGTGCATAATTTTAGTTTCTAATTTGTTTCTTTCGTGAAGCAAATAGAACATTCCTAACAGTTCTTCCACGCTTGTTCAATTCATAATTCTGTACCAACTAATTCATTCGGAGCAATCACTTTTGCTGTTATATAAAAAATGAAAAATACCGTAACGAATTGAAGTAGAGCAAACAGTTCGCTGAATCCATAGCAGATATTTCTCCTGCATTCTTTTTTGATGAAACATTTCGGTTATAACTCATCTGGTTATTAGAATTGTGAGAGGTTTTGTCATCACATAAGCGTTATCGTTGAGCGTTTTATTTGTGATATTTTTTGCAATCGTTATTGATTCCATATGTTCAAATTGCGCTTATGCCGTATGTGCTGAATGCACATATGCACCACATGTTTTGGCTTGTAGTCGTGTTGATAGGAATGAAACGGATGCATAAGGAGAATGTTATCAAGTTTGATATGATATCGCATCAGCCATGAACACACATACAGGTCATATGAATGCCATGTAGACTAATGCACAATGGCTCTTTCGAATGTTATATGAGTTTTATTCTCATTGCAGCGAGTCGTCGTTGCGCCGACACGAATGCTTCAACAATCAGCTCTCAACATTCAGCTCGTGAAACAACCTCCAGAAAACAAACGCTTCCTTTAAGCGGTGAAGAGAACGCTGAATTAGAGGCTCTTGCGAGGTTGTTACCGCTGCCTTATCGATTGTTGAATAATGATCCGTATTTGGTGCTGAAAACAGCGATCAGTTACATTGATCAACTGAAAGCCACTGTCATTGCACGGGTACGGAGCGGATCGTTACCACAGGGTATGTTCCATTCGCAGTTGTAACTTTCTTACTCAGTCTTCAAAGTTACGGATGAATCGAAAACTTTTGTTCGAACGATGAAATCCATTCACGTACCATCAATAATGCAAAATGTTTCCTTCCAAACATTTCACTCGTATGAATTTCACCAATGCCACATATTATGCATGTGTGTCTCAAATTTTCTTCTGTTCAATCAATCTCCCAATGCCTACGAAGTATATCACTTGCAAATAACTAATTGTTTCTATATTGATATCTTCAAGTGCTACTGATATTTTAGAAGCACTCACAAAGGTATTTCAACCGCAAGAACCAATTCCCAAAAATCAGCAACAAGTCGACTCAACATGTCAGCAGACTGAGAGGCCGTATCAGTGAATCGAGCTGCTCTCCAAACAACAGCACTTCATTCTCATTCATCTTTTAGAAATGTTCTGTGATATTGTATATACTCATCATAACACTAATAATACTTAATTGTTCGCAAATGTTCTATAGATATAATCTGTTATCAACCACATCATTTACTGCATTATTCGTCGTTTTTGCGAAGGTCATCAAGAAAATCCCTTTCAACGTTTCGTAGAACTGGTGAAGCTTGTAATTGAACGAAAGCAATTGCTGTCTGCTTGACCTCATGAACTCATCCTGTCATCTTATCGTATCGGTTGCTATTGAACGCTCTTAAAAAATCCCACATGCTAACCTTCCAAAATTATTTTGTTCGAATTCACTTAATCGATAAGATCACTGGTATGTGTATAATCGCATGGGAAGATATATAATGTGATCGAATGAAGAGTTGACAAGTGTTTAATTATGATATATGGTGTTATTATTTGGGTTGTTGCGTACAGAATATAAATCAATGATGATTACCATCAGAAATGTTTTACGATTCTGAACGACAATGTTTATGTGACCTTCTCATGCGATGGTTTCAAGTAAATGATGCATACCGATCACCCACATCTTTGTTGCTCTCATAATAAGATTCTGCTCGTGACAAAACCATCATGATTCTCATACAACAACCATCATGTCGAATACATTAATTCCGACTAACGACCATTTCTCTTTTCCTTATGTTACATATCAGCCAATGGTATTTCGTAAACGTACTGCAAAAATAAGGAATCCAACCAACAACGTATGATTCGGTAAGATCCCAGTAAACTGAAGCTGAAAAAGACTGTGCTCAATGGAATAATGCTAACAGTCGGGATCTCATCAGAAAGGTGCGGTTTTTATGACTGCATCATGTCTGACAGACTCTCCGGTTTCAACAGCACCTGGTATTATAGCATAATCAATCCAGATTTATTTCTGATAACGATCTTCTCATTTCTGCCAGGGAAACACTTTTTGCAGTAATGAATGGTCCGATTTACTTCAGGTAAATGGTTCCGAAAAGTGAATTTATAAATGCGATGAAAAGTCAAAATTTTTGAAGGTATTTCAATGGCATTAGGCATGCAAACTCGCTGAGGTGTTAAATGAGCGATAGTAAAGGGTGGTTATGTAATTATAGCAACAAATTAGGGCAAATGTCCATCACTACTCAATTATTCCCTCAATGAATGACTAATTACAATCGAACGAAATAATTTCACGCTGTTTTTATGTTCATGCCTTGGTGCCTCTTATGTGCCAGCAACTTCAATGACAAACATACAGAAACCATTAAGTGTCACTGAATTAGGATGATTCCCAGCAGGAAGCCATTTAGTTTGTTATTTTACTAGCTGTTTTGTTGAAACATCACCATTCAATTTTACGCTTCATTTCAGTCTAATTTAGTGACCTGTTGTAAATACTGCACAGTTGCAGTAATTATTTACTTGTTCACATTATTCCATCATCTCTGATTTGCACAGCTGAGTGAATTGATTCACTTGCGAAACAATGCTCTTGTTTTGGCTGTTTTCAAACTTTATAACTATTGTTAGCGGGTCTCAAAAGATATTTTATTTGATATCATCCCACTAGCGTAAGCATCCGAAGACTGTCTGATTGAAATTTCAGTCTGCATCATACATTTACTTGTAAATTTCAATTGCTCTCTCGAATGTATTTAAATCTGATTAGAACAATGATTGTTGTCATTGTATGATGTAAACACGAAACAACCTTTACCTATGCATTTTGGTTACCTTCCACTGTAAAATAGCTCGTATGAGATGCAAACTGAGAACGTATCGGGATAGAAACAGATGAAATGAGATTGACAGATTTACATATATCATCAATCCATACACATCAAGCAAGAAATGTGATAGAATAGTTCAAAGGTAGATGATACCTCTGTTGCCATTCGATAGACATCACAGATAATTTGTCCTTTGTATTGGCCGAACGAAAATTTGCCGTTCCCACGAGCATACGTGACACTGAAACGGATTGTATGAAGTGCACCTGCTGTGCATGAGATTGTCGGTGAATGTTAATATGTATCAAATACTTGTTTCACATTTGAATCATCCTTCAATTCAATCGAATTTTTTCAGAAAACGACAGTTCACTGAAGCGAATGAACAATTTAGCTTTGTATCATTATTCATGAAGTATGTTCTTGAAGTTCAGAAGAAAAAACAAATGATGTTACGTGGAAACGTATGTAGTTGATTGCATGAACTGGTTTGGTTTTTGAACACAACCAATCGATACAGCGCAAACTTGTCGCACAGAGATATTCCCAAATGACACAGAAATTCGTGCATCAGTCATTATTCACAAAAATATTTTCACTCGCTTCATTGCTCATTCCCCAATTCTGTTATGCTCTCTTCAAAAGCCCTAATGCGTGCCTTTTCAATCATCCACAATCATACTCTCTCGGCCGTCACAAAAAGTTTCAGCATTATTACTCAACGCATGAGTTCTCCTTCGTTCTTTTCAAGGATTCAGCAAAACAAGTTTGTTTATTTGCTTGTTGACATTCAGCCATGCTACGCTGCATGTGATCAACAGATTGTGATTCGAGTTTGAAATAATATACCACCGAAAAGCTGTTGAATCGTAATCTCAAACACCATTAAAGTCGTTGAACACCATTGAAGTTGAACATCGTTGAAATCTGAAAGGTTATTGAATCGCTAAACTCAATCAATGTTTATCCTAGCAAGTATCTTCACCTAATTAAGCCTTTAATTAACATCAATTCAACAAAAGTGATTGTGGTCACGTTAGATATTGATTTGCGAGTGCTTGAATCGTTTTTGTGCACATTCTTATTACCTTGACATCTTTTGAAGACGGGTTATATTGGGCTATAACCAATGATTTTGCAATCACTTCACAAAGAGTGGCACATCCCTTCTCCTTCTTTGATTCAATAACATTTCGCACGATATTTAATCTATCGTATTATTTGTTGAATAACGCATAAGAAAGCGCAACGGTTGAAAGAAGAACGTGTCAACGAGAGTAATCGAGTGGAATGGATAATCAAATGGATTACTTCTTTGGCATAATCGGATGACATGACGGTTCATTCGTGTAAGCACTGTTCCTGGGAATGGCATCATTTCAAAATGCATTATATCACACCTGCGTTCAATTAGCATCATCCGCATTTCGCCGAACAGCTAAGTCGTTGCTATTCTCATACTCGTATACACCACCTCAAAAACAATTGTCAAATTTTCCCACCCGAATGCGTTCGCACGAGATGAACATAATGACAATGTGAAATGCTTCAAATGTTCAAATAGGTATTTGAAGTTAATGTATAAGTGAGCATATGCCAGGATTCGTCAATAGTTTTGCTTGCAAGGAGCTAATTGTTGCCATTATCAACATAATGATTTCTTGTTTGTTTCGTCTCATTGATCGTCACCGACTCGTATTCCGTTGTTGATCATACCAGCAAACCAATTAGTCGTTCTATCAGTCATCCAACAAATGTGCGATATGCCTACCAATCACTCTTGTGAGAGCACTTCCGCTCCGAGAATCACTCGTAAGTCAGATAGATCTAATCGATTGTTAATGACGGCAAATTGGCCAGGGTAAAGGCCAGAACATATCTCACATATGTGGATGCACGGATGTCTATGCCTAGATTTGACTTGTGAAGATACAAAGCAACCATAAAAACAGTTGAAACAGAACCGCAAAGGCATTTGCTGCTCGCATATGGTGCACACGGCTGTATTGGACTGCGATCTTCATTCATTATTTTATGAGACTAATCGACTGCAGTCGGTCGTTTGCAACTGATCGATTAGATAAACTCACATGCAACGTAACGCAAGATGGATATCGCAGTAACAAATTGCATTCCTCTCTTTTTCCCTTCATCCCTGTTCATAACAACATCAATTTTGCTTACTGAATGCTGTAACGAAGATGTTTATTGTGAATAGCGAATGCATTGTTAAGATAATAAGACAATAACGATTAAGTATTTTGAGAATGAGAATGAAATGAATGGACGATGGAATATCGAAGTGAATAAGAAGACACTAAAAGAATCTGTAATGCGTCAGCCATAGCAACGTCGTGCAAGGAGCTTCTTTGGTTGGCGAATGAGAGAGGATGTTGTTGTGGTACTTGCATATTATCCTTACCGTATCGACGTATTCATACAAACACCTTACCGATCAACCCTCACTCGACATGCACAAACCTTCTTTAATTCACTAATTCGTTCAGTTCTCTTGCTTTGCTATCAATCAAAAAGACAATTCGCCACTCCATCTTCGCACCCATCGGTACAAACATCCTTCCTCTTAACAATTAACAACTGACCTCCAATATCAGCCTATCTATTATCAGTTCTTGTCATACAATCCACTTCCCAACTCAAATACGCTTTCATCTAGCCTTTTCCCAATGACTGTCCACATTTCTGATTTATAATCAAATTCCCTGCTTCTGCTAACAGCATCACACCACACAAATTTCTTGCACACAACAAACAGAGGCAATAAGCTGCAGATGATAAGCAATAAGCTGTGTAATGTGAATTTGCAACTGAAACACAATCAGTAATATGATAATATTAAAAAATGCAACGTTTGCAAACGATAAACATCATATCAAATGATAACAATCAATCAACATACAAAAAAACATGGACGAACACTATGTGATTTGGTGCAAAGAAATCAGATAACACACGCTTTCCTCTTTGAAATGAAAATGGCAATTTGAAGCCGACCAAATATTCATATTAAAAATCATAATAACTCCAACCACATTCAAAACTTAACCAACTTTCAATATCGGACAATAGTAATGATAATAATCAATGACGAAACTAATAAAGTGGACTAATAATCGACTGATCACAAATATCAAACGTAACGTGATCAATATGAAATAAACTTCGCTTTTCTTCACTTCAAAACAGTGAAAAGAATCCATCTCATCAAAACTAATGCTTCATCAGCGTTGTTAATGAATTGTTGATGAACGATAATACGACTAACACCTTATAATAGATTTTTATTTGAGAACTAATGTGACTGAATCAATAAGACATAAAACAATTACGTGCTAATCAATCAAATCATTTCACTTTCAGTTATTTACAAACCCTCAACTGAACACTTTGAACACAATTTAAAAAAACCCAGAAATTATCTTCATTACCACAAAACATTTTCTCGAATGAATTCACAATATCAATATTCGTATAATTAAATTCTATTTATAAAACACTTCTCTGGACACTTCATACAAATATACTATCTAAAATGATCCATCAAACCAAACTCTTATCACTGTCACATCAGGCCACCCTCACCACCTAATTTGCCATCCATTCTTCCTCTTACTGAACGATCACCTCGTTGTTACACGTACTGATGGGTGAACATTCCACCTCAACAATAACATACTCAGTTTAAAATGAAAATTGCTTTGAATAAATGCAAAGCAACAGCACTACGACGATACAATTTTAATACACATGCACACATATACATATGAACTCAATATTCCTCCATTCTTCCTCAGCTGTTCTTAAATTTCATTTTTTGATCAAAACATTTTTGACCGAACAAAATTTATATTTCTACCAATCCGTTCAAAGTCAAAGTCTACACAAATACTTCACCAGATCTCCTTAATAAAATGGAATAAAATTAGAAAGTTCAAGTTAAACCAAGTATAATACTCAAGAAGATATCAGAAAGACCGTCTACAAGCTGAAAGATTGAAGGATGTATGACAAGATGCTAAGAAATGAAATGATGTGTATTGGGGATATGAACGAACATTATTCATTATGATCACTATTCCATATTTTCTTCATCCTTAGCCATCAATTCCCTGGCGTGGCGCAGTGCAGCGCCTTCGTTGTAGTGAGCCTTACGCTTCTTTTCGAACTCCCGTTTATGAGCTGAAAACCAAGTGTTCCAAGGTAATGAATCATCAAAATTTACACATGCACACAACGTTCATCCTCTCTACATTCCGAAATACTTTTTCACTCACAGAATAATTCGCTCTTGCCTCAATGCGGCATTCAAACAGAGAGCAACTTCCTCAACACGCAAATGCCTTAGATGACTGCTGCAGGTCTGACTGGTATTTCGTTAAATAACTCTCACTATGAGTGTGTTGATAAGAAAGTGAGTCTAAAGTACACAATAAATGATCACCACAAACAAACAGTGTACTAGAAGACTGAAAAACAATCGTCTCAACGCCATCATTAAACTAATTGATTATTAAGCTGCTAAGGTTCACCTCTCCTCAAAGCTACTGTTACTGTTAGAGTGCACGCAACTGACTGGGTAGGTATAGCTCACGTACATTTGCTCACCTCAAAACAATTGCATAGCAATCCACGTCAAAGCTTTCATTGACAATACTAAACCGGGTCGGACGATGGAAAGTTACAACTAATAACTGAGTTACGTTTTTAATAGTGAGGAAACAATAGCTGAACATTAATGAAATCCAAAAAAAAAAGAAAATACCAATTTGTTCTGGTGTCAATTCAGATTCTTCGTCGTAATCATCCGAAGGCGCGTGTTCTATATAAGCTGGTGGATGTGAGGAACCGGCTTGAAGCCCTTCGGCCAATTTCACAGGATCCACCGCATCTACAAGAGAGACGCGTCGATGACGTGAACCATGACCTTCAGATTCCTCTTCACTGTCACTGTATTGGTGATACGGTGTTTTCGGTTCATCAATCTTCATATGCCTGAAAATTTAGTTGTGGTAAGGAACGAGTATGGAACACAGCGATCAATTCGTACACAGGTTTTACCGAGTACAATAATGGCACAAAGATTAAATCAACCAACCCATAATCTTTATCCGCAGGATGATGTGTGGCAAGGATATTCATCTCATCGAAATGCGCCCTTCCATCGTCAATCAATGCTCGCTTTGCCTCATCCATAGACGGTTGCTTAGCCGAAAATTTTCAGAATTACTTCGTCAAATCATTTGATGAATACAATACGCTGCGACTTGTCAGCTCCAGTGATCAACGAATGTTGGAGATATGTGAAACCCACAAAATATAATCCAAACAAAAAAAGAATAACTCAAAAAATTAGAACAGTCACCTTCAAGATGGACTTTTTTGGTTTCATTTTCAGGCACTCACTCGGATCTTTATGAAGACTGTCCGCTTCTCGTGAATCCATTTCGTCGCCTTCACCATTCATTACAAATCTTAAATCATGCACAACATACAGATTACGCATTCGCAGCAATGAACAGATGAATCGAAGGGACATGCAACCTTAATGAGCACGACGCACTCGGAAGTTCAAACAGTAACTATAAGCTGAATTCGGACATCTGCACAAGAACGATATTTTGATGTCACAAAAAATGTTGATACTTTCCACCATACTGGAACTGCTCACATAAATGACATACTTACACTCGAACCAATAGCACCTTTCGAACGGCGTTTACATGAAACCATTGAAAGCAGAAGGAAAAATATTTAGCGTAAAAACCCTTTGAACGGAAATCATTAAGCCAACAGTCCGGTAGCGTCCTCAAATGCATTTCCGAGCATTGATCACAGCTTGATCGGGTACGAATGCATTCGTACTCTTCTATAAATCATTCGCAGAAAATTCCATCTGAGAGTATNAGCAGTCGTCTGATGTGTTCAGATATAAAATCGCGTAGTTCTGTGTCTAGAAGGTGAATCGTTCTCATCGGCTTAAAGCAATGAAAACACATGGGTATAAACTTACAGTGAACATGAGAGTATGATGTCTGTTTATGCACATTTGACCTATGCCATGGATAGATAAAGCAGGGTGGATACAGCTCGTAAAAGACAAATCTCTCTTCAGAAATATTGCAATTCTCGACCAGAGGAAGACAATCGGGTCATTAAATGAGTTATCGCAATAGCAATTCTACACAATATCATTCATGTTTACTTCAAACAAGCGTTTCATATATTCATTTTGATAACGATGAAGTAACCTTATTGGTGTACGATTTCTGAAGCAATTTTTAAAGCAGTCTTTCGGAAATTTCTAATTTGCTTTGCAGTACCCTGGTTTGTTTGAATTGTGCAAACGAACCAGGCCGTTTATGAGAACCGAAGCGTCATCACATCAACAACAGTAGTATCGCAAGCCACATGCCTTTCCTGCATCGATTTCCCCTGTCAAATTAACAATTGAAATGCGTTCATGTCTCTCTTCTATCTCACCAACACACATCCATCCATCCACAGAGTTATTCATCCAGCTGTTTTTTTTTTAATTCTATTGATCCGAACGAACTCACTCACTCTGCATACGAACTCAATCCTCTTTTTATTCCCCCAGCTGAAGATATGCATGTGCTTTTTGGCTACCGTAACCCTCAATTGCTTTATAACACACCACAAAAATTTCTTAATGCGTTTTCTAATGTTCCTTCACTCCTTTACCATTTCATTCCAATCTACACAATTCCAAAAAAATCAGAAATAATCACAGAAACGAATCTTTTCCATCAATTATGTCTCAAAATGGTTTTCTGTACGAAAAAATTCGAGAGAAATCGATTTTTTCGAGAGTCTGAACTGGCCATCCAATATGGCGAGTGTGAAAAGCAAAATTCAGCTGATAACTAACATGTCTGATGGATCACTTATCGTCCTAAACCGCTCTTTCTCATTCAATTCACGGACAGCAGAATAGTTTTGACTTGAATCATATAGACGCAATCCCCGTTTTGTGATCAAATCATTACCGTATGGTTCAGACTGAATATTAAGTTATCAGAGCCCATATAATGGCAAGACAGTTTGATTGCATAAGTTCACGACTCAACTCTGCTTCTTACTGATGTCTTCCTACTATGTGATGATAGCAATGCACCTAATTCAATCACCACCAAGCAAATTATCGCCAAACCGTTCAGTTGGAACACATTCGAACGAACCAATTTGTTAGCATTCACAATTGATGGTTGATGATAATATACTCATTAATTACAACTTCAGTGTAGTTGCATGATGATTTTGTTCATCATTGGTCCTTCAATAAGGAACGTTTAGTTCATTGCCTGCATTCAGTTCTTCAGCTGTGAGAGAGTGCACCAACGGAATAACATTGATGAGCCAACATTTCAAGGTACACAACATAACTTCATCTCACAAATTGAATGTACTCTGCTCAAATGAGAATCTCAGTTATTGACCGTTAATTGAATAAATTTTTAGCAAGGAATTAAAGCAGCCAATTTAGCAACTGAAAGTATTGAGATTGTTTCATAATGTTCAAAAGTATTAGCTGAGTGTTTGTTAATTTTTTGATTTTGTATAGATTGTCTTCGATAAGTGAAGCAGCGAAGCTTTACTTGTGGAAGAACACGATAGGAATGATAATAACATTCATTCATTCATCATCCTTTTCAATGCATTCTTCAGCTTTAACCATTCTTCTAATTCTTCCAAGAAAATATAAAACAAAAAATTGAGTGAAGACAATGAAAACCGATTCAAACAAAAACCATAAAAAGTAGAATATTTTATTCGTGGATGTTGCGTTAGGTTTGTCGATTGCAAGCAAGTTTGGTAGAGCATTCGTGACTTGTGAATATAACAGCATCGTATTGTCAATGACTACTCATGATATTCATTAAAATATTTGCACAATAAAGATTAAAAGGTAGTTTGATTAATTTGTCTTCGAAGTGAATGTTTGTCGATTCTACATTTTTGATGGGTCATTTCCTTTGACAAATGTGTTCACGATAACTTGAGGTGACAAAAAGTGCTGTGATAAAAATTCGATAACGATTTAAACTGAATGCATTCCCGATAGTTGGAGAATTGTGTCATTTTGATAGTATGTACACGTTCTTATCTTGAGAATACATCGTCAAGGCTTTCGTTTCCAGGCAACTGAAATATTGAGCAGTATTTTCATCAATCATCTGTGCAGTATTTTCTTTTAGTGTGCTCTTATATTGAAACAGTAGAGATGAACCATAAAACGATTACATACTGAATGGTTCATTTGAAAATAATTTCTTGTTGCGATAAACAAGGTGATAGGTGTCGATGTAAATGCAACTGCACTCAATCATACGCAGCAATAGTACGTGATCGTACTAAGATGCATAATGAGATGAATCCTTCTCGACGGGATGAATACTGCAGTTTGGAACATTTTCATCTTGAAAATGCATTTCGAATATGAATCAAAGGCTTGATGACGATACCATTCAGCAAATATACGATCAATGCTTCGGACTCAACTTCATTCGTTGCTATACGGTATTGGGTCTTTCGTATAACGTCTCGACTGAATGAAATGCTTTTTTGGAGCATTTAAGTTTATTTGATTTGTTTGACAATTACAGAATACAATCGATCTGTGTGGCTCTCATCGAGACACTCACTAAAAAAAGCACATTGCGAGCAAATCCCATGGCGTTATTTTCCTTTTTTGTTTGCTCACAAGCGCTAACAGAAAATGCACTATGATAAAATGAAATGACTATATTCGAAGAATATCTATCATAATGATTCCTCAAAATACGACAAAAAATGCCACTAAATGTATAAATTTATTTGTTTCCCATTCCAAATACATGACCATTTACGTAATCGTCCGAGAAAAATTCAATCAATTTTTATTATTATGGTTGATGATTCTTCAAGAATAGCGATTCTTTGATGAAAACGATCTGAAAAATTGGTCCTTTGTGATATTAAAAAAAATCAAAATATGGGATCAGCTCAATCAAACCATTACTCAATTATGAGAGATCTATGAGTTCAGTCTCTCAGATAGAGAGAGAGAGTGAATGAAAGAGAGATTACAATGAGATTTGTGACTGAAATTGATTTTTCCTTCTTTTCTTAGGTGTGAGCTTATGATGATGTTTCAAACAAATTGGAAGGTTGCCTTGGTTCCTTATGGTTTGAGTCTTTGCATTGACAGTGGTGTCGATTTCAAATAGCTGATAATGATAATACCTGCATTAATAATGACGATAATAATACAAGAGTTGTGATAGTACGGACAGATTTTCACCGACTATGAGGGCATGGATTGTATCAGAGTGTGTATGGCACTATGTTGATGGCCTAATGTCGGAATGTCGGTAAAAATCTGGTGCTCCCACCTTATTGTCCATACTATTGCATTATTATCATCATTATTAATGCAAATATTATCAAGCAGATTTCTAGATTGGACACAAATTAATGGATTATAATGTTGTCAGAACGGTCCTTTGAGACATTGTACTTATGTGGGAGATTGTTATATGAGATGAACGCTTTATTCACCAGATCAGACTTAGTTTCATTGAGGGGTTAGTTAATTGTGACTGAGAATAGTTTTGCACGATGAATGCTGGAAAAATGCAGCTGAGTTTTGTGTTAAGACACACAATTAGCAATGTATTGTTGTTCGAAAATAGCACGAAACAATTCAAAATAATTTCGATAGAATGTGAATTGAATCAAGGCGATCGTTGCATGTGATGGATGAGAACGATTCACACGCGTATTCATAATTGCATTTTTCGAACGACCTCTTCGTTCAGTGTTCGCTTTTGGCTAGCATTACCTAAGAACATTGACTTTTGCGAGTAGTTTCATAAACTTTTCTCGCGTAATTAAACAATTCCTCGTTGCATTTGTTGCATCAAACAACATTTCTTTCATTACACAAACGCGATTCCAGCGATTGCTACACTGAAGGAATTTGCGTTGATGAGCTGAAAAATTTTTATGGAATGCGAGAAACGATTGAGAACACCATTTGCTTCTCAAAATTTAACACAAAAAGGGTTCTGATATCTTCGAAAACCTTGAATACAATGGAGATCTTATTTTTTTGCCATATTCCATTACGTTTTTTTTCATTTTTGTGGTGGATGAATACTTCTCAAAACCGTCATGCGTTTATTTGTCACAAATCAATCAACATTTGTCGCAAAAATTTGTCGCAAACAATATCAGTCGACATCCAATCATCTCACTACAGCGGTTCCCAACTTTTTTCTTCGACCTCATCTCCTTAAAAATTTTACGATGTACTCGCACCCCCTACAACAATAGTCAAAAAGTCCCCCAACAACATCCATCCTGTATCTCTCATTCACTGCAGTCAGTGCCTATAGTGTAGATAAGTGTACACCATTAGAGTACGTTCCAGCCTTTTCAAAAATATATGCGTTTAAGTCCATACCTGCTTTATAAATGTGTACGCGTTGATATCCGCCCTTGCCTACTTTATTGTACGAAAAATGAAATATTATCTCGCACTCTCTGGAATAATATCTCACACTTCCAATGAGTGCGAGCACTCCAGGTTGGGAACCGGTGTTTTCCTGGAATACTTGAATGTTTTTTCTCAGCATTGGAACATGAGGTGAATTGTGTCAGTATGGTACCATGGGATTTGTTAACAATTTTCTGATCATTTTCGATTCACTTCTGTCGTATTACACAGC